TTTTTTTTTTTTTTTTTAGTGTGTAGGCCACTTAACTTACTCACTGAGCTTGCTATATCCGGCCTAAGATGCAACCTAGCTATTTTAAATGTATTTAAAAGTTTTAAATTAAACTACAGTTGACACAGCCGAGTCAACACGCGTTATTGAACGAGTGGAGCCACTTTAAAAGAATCTAATCAGCAGAAGATCAAGCGGTCATCAGCGTCTGACTGAGCAAGATGAGGTGACACTGTGGCTTCTCTTCTTCATCTGCAAAGATGTTTGATAACCGACATTTTAGCCACCGACAAAAAAACAACAACACATATTTCGTGTGTATTTGATCTACAGAAGATGCAGAACAAGCGGTTCGGCCTGTAGCTTCGACTACTTTTGCTACATCTTTTTTTTTTTTTCTTTTCTTTTGGACCAAAACTGTAAACACGAAAAAAAAAAGAAAGAAAGAAAGAAACACGGTAAAAACTATCGTCTCTAACTTCACTCCCACAACACAAACACGTTTTCTGTGGCTCTTCTTACCTTCATATGTCCCTCTGAGCTCTTTGAAAACTCCAGCATGAACTTTTCCCCTGTCAGAAGATTTGTTTCACTTGATTTGCGTCCTCTGATCCCGACACGGCGAAACATTGAACAGCCAAGTACTTTTTCTGACGGACAGCTGCGCCAGCCAATAGCTGAGTCCGAGCTCTCGCCGCTGGCCAATGAGAGACGAGCTTCTGAGGAAAAAGGGGGCAGGAACAGAGACGCCCCGCCCCTTGGATTTTGGTTGGATTTCTTTGTTTAGTATTTCTTCAGTGCCTGCCTCCTCTGGAAGAATGTCTTATGGGCACGTAAAGACGGCAAGCTTTTTAAATGACTTTATGGGTTTTATTTTGCTGAAGAAATTTTAAAACACAAGTTATTGTTTGTTTGTAGTCTCACATAGTGACTTTATAGTCACTTTATTACACTTTTGTACAGTTTTGTAGGCCTATTTGTGTCTGTGTGTCACCTCTTATGATAATATTCCTAAATTTCTAGAGTAATTCTTTGAAAATGGAATACAATAATATTGTTTATGGTTATACTCTCATGTTTGTGTAGTATTCTTCAACATTTTGCCTATAGGATGCAGTGAAAGTTACACATTCCCAATTATACTAAAGTAAAACCACATACCTATTAGTAGTAAAATATACTAATATAATACTTTACTAATGACAATCCTGACCGTATCAGTTTACATTATTTAACAAATATGTTTTTGGAATATTATTGATGCATATAAATGTTAACTGGTCAAGATTTAGTTCAGTTTAACTGCCTTATATAGTGTTGGATAGTTGAATCTATAACAATGCATCACATTTTAGAAGTTGATCACTCTTACTAACACTCTCTTACACTAACTTGTAACTACAACTATTAGGTGAATTTAAAGAATATATTTGCCTCTGAAATGTAGTGAAATATGAGCAGGCTCTTAAGAATCTGAATATACTCAAGTACAATTTTGAGATACTTGTACTTTACTTGAGTAAAAGTACTGATACTATACTATATTTTATTTTATTCTTTTGTGAAACAACACAGACTCAACACACTTGTCCAAATATTTGCAAACAAATTCAACCCAGTATGAGACATGCACAGGCACAAAATAAAATAAAACAAACCATAAATAATATAACACAAACAATCTGTGATGCAGAAAAGTAAGACATGACACAGCACAACAAACAAAACTCCATAAGTCGGTCCATGGGTCATTTTATCTTACAGAACCAATAAAATGTGCATTAAATGTTATAAATGTCACCATATAAACCATCTGTTGACAAATTAAATGAATTATTCCAGCTTTATTAATTACTCCAGCAAAAGCATCCCCTCTATTGATTCCTGGATTTGTGGGATTACAGTATTATCGACTGCCATCTGGTGGCATAGTCACTGTAAGAGCCAGAGTGGTGGGACTGCAGAGCTGTAAGACGTCTGTGTGCTTGTTGGAAGAGAAATGTCAGTGGGTTCACCTGGGAAATCATAAGCTTTAGACTGTAGGTGAGCTAATATGACAGCCATCTTCAAACTCTAAAATCACTGAAAGCTTTCAGAAGCGGAACAGTTGTAGGTATTATGGTGACGTACCCTGTTTTTCTGCGATTTCAGAGACATACTTCACACACAACTCCTGTATTGTATCAGCACTCACTCAATGTGGATGTCTAACTCTATAGGGGGTGGATACAGCTGTGTTGTTGTTTTTATGTTGCTGTTTTCAGCTGTGAGGCACAGAGCTCCAGATGCCATGTGACAAAAATCAGATGAGGTATTCACTGTGCTATGGACCTGAAAATTTAAAGCAGTCTTAACCGCAAACTGGAGCCCTTCCTGTAGTACATAATACCTACCAGTAGAGTGCAATGCTCACATAACCCAAGTCAAAGTTACAGTAACCACAGTGGTTTAATCACACAGGCTACATGCAGGGAATAGTACAGAATATAAAGGCTTTTTCCCATAACCGGACAATCGACAACTTTTGCTGTTACCGGATGCTACTATACTAATGATAATTCACTTCAGGTATGATCATCAGCCAAATACTCAAACTGTGTCTTGAGATATAACATAAGACTACAATAGTCCTGCTGTAATAGAGATTATAAACCCAAGTGCACTTCGGTGTAGCAATTTGGCTGGAAGTTACAAGACATACCACCTGATGTCAGCACTAAATCGGCACAACACGCACAAATGAGCCCCCTATGTATGACTATGCAGCATCTTTGTGCTATTTGGTAATTATGTCCCTTTTTTCTCACTCTGCTATCTTGAGGGTATACAGAGAGTAAAGTTAGATAATTGTCACTCCTGATAGGCTGCTGGTTCAGGGAGCCTCTTCAGTCCTAATAGAGAGTCTCTATTTCAGGCTCTTCAATTAAGCTGCTCTAGTCAGCCTACTGACTAGCTGCTATGGAAAATCAGTGTCCTCCGAGTCTTTGTCCTGTGTCCTCGTCTCTCCCTTTGCCAAACAAAGTGTTTCATTTAGTTTATTCCTGGGGAAAAACAGGTGGATACAGTGGTCAGTGCTTGTACAATCTAGAAAGATTTTTGTCAGTGTTGGCCTGTAAAAACAGAACATTTGTAAAGGTTGCAATTGTCAAAAAATATCAAGAGCATAAAAAATTGGTTTGGTTTGATAAATGCAGTGTTGGGATGTTACTAACGTTTTTTTCCATTTTATGCCACAATTCAAGATGGATATATTACCCCACATCATTTATGTGACAGCTATCACAGATTTTCCAATCAAAACTCATTATATCAGTTTTATAAAATATTATGCACAGATTAAATACCCAGCAGTATATAAAATATTAAGCTCAAACTATTAATAGTAGCTCCACCTCAACCAACTACAACAGGAAAATGCTACTTACACATTCATTCATTTATTAGTATATATATATATATGTAATATATATAACATTCACAGGGGTCTTTATTCGGCATTATGAGTACTTTTACTTTCAATACATTGAGTACATTTTGCTATAATACTCACATGCTTTTTTCAATTTTCAATACAAGACCTTCACTTGTAATGGTGTATTTTTAAATTGCAGTATTACTGTATCTCAAATCATCCTTAATAATGGGATAAATATCACTGTATTCCTCTGGATTTCCCTTTTCCTGTTTTGTGTATTTCTCATAAATTGCTTCCATGGTTAGTATTGATGATAATAACTGTGTAATGCTGAAACCCTGCAGTCCTACAAATCCTGTTCTAAAGAAAGACCCACAAATCAAACTTTTGTTGCATCAGCAAAACGCCTTTTTGTTCTTTTGCACTTTTTTACCCCAATCTTCACCCAGACTCTTTTCCTTATCTCTGCTGACATAATCGCTGACTTGGGTGTTTTTGTCAAGTCCATATGAAATTTTTCCAAAGGTGTTTCAGCGAGACTCAGTCCAAACAGAACATTGACATTTAGCTCAGCACAGAGGGAGCACCATGAAGAAAGTACACTTTGACTTTCAAAATAGCTACTTGAATGATAAAGAATATTTCCCCTAAAGGTTATGGTATACTCAGATGGAGTCTCTTTGACTGTGTGAAAGCTGTTCCAGGTTCCATCAAAAGATAATATTTTAAAAGTTCCCTTAAAACTGCAAAAGCCATATTTAACCCCCAACATCTGGGGCTTCAATAAAGCTTGAATGAATATACTAAAGAACTTCGTTCTCTCTTACTTCTGCTATATCATTCCCGGCTTTAGTGAAAGTATCATGGCATTCAAATTAAATATTTCATCTCCATTTCACACCTGGCGCTCTGTCGTAGACGTAATGTGGAGATGGCACACTGTGGTGGCACAGACACGATCAGCGGAGGGATGGAGAGAGGGAGGAGTAAATATAGCATCAGAGTCTTGGCAGGAGCCGACGACAATCTAGGACCTAATCTGAGGCAGTTATCAGCATCTGTTGCCTGGCACCCAGTTCTGTGGGGGTTTTAGTTATTCATCTATTGCTCCATATCTGTCACTTCTTTTTGCATCTGATTCCCCGTACAGAGGATGCATTCAAGAGTGTGGGAGGATGTAACCTCTCAATACCCCTCAGTGAGTCAGTCTGTCAGTAATACACACATGTCTATGTGCTCAGCTCACCTGATTGCATGTGTGTTGCTGTTTAAAGCGTTTAAGGTTGGAAAATTGATTTGTTTTGCCACTGGCCATGTTAAATGTAAATTGCCCGAGTGCCTGACCTTGAAGCAGTCCTGATTAATCATTTGCATATCTCCAGAGTGGTAATGTGTCTTCAAGCAGCAGACTGTGTCACTGTTACTGATGTATTTGTTTTCTAATCATGTGGCAGCAGCTGGATGTGGAATTTAATATCTAACGACTGCTTTGTTATTCATGTATTCACTGTATATGTTGGCAAGTTGCTTTGATGTAAGGCATTGACTGGACCCTAAAAACGGTGTAAAATTAAACGAGTGCTCCTTATTAACTCCAAGTTTATGTTGACTTCAGTTACTATAAGATGAACACAATCTCCTGGAGGATTAACTGAAAAACACATAACCAATCTAATTTATGGTTGAGACAACAAGAAGTATCTGAGCTTAGACAAACTGCAGCCCACTTAGGTATGAGCTGACAAAAGTAGAGCCAACTACAAATCACTGGCTTACAAGAAAAGAGACACAAATGGAGGTTTGGCGTGTTAGATGTGATTTATCAGCACCCAGGGTGACATTTGAGCCAACTTTTTGACAAAGGTCTTTTCTCCCCAACTAGACAAACCATCCCCATCAATTTGGATGGCCACTGCAGTCTTTGTTGAGTTATACACCAAGAGTACGTTGATCAGCATGGGGCTTGGAGAGTTTTATGACCCAGTCTGAGCTGAATACACCTCAACTCATTTTCCCAAAGGTGAGTTGTTTTTATGAACTTTGTAGGGAGAAATACACTGACTGGATTTGGTGGCTTTGAGGCACTGTAGGGTCAGCAGAGTTTGATTTAATGTGTCATTACAACGAGAAATTATTGCCATCTTAAACTTAAATACTCTTCAACCGAAGTAGCTTCAAAACATTGAAATGAGACTTATTGAGTTCTTTATGAGTATAC